ATCAATCAAGTCAGTCTTTTTTCTCTTTTCATAACTATTTCAGTAGAATTGTTCCTTCTTTCCAAGCAGCCTGGAGAGCTATTTATTTTGTGGTTATCAGAGAAAAGGGGGCCTTATCTGCAATTTTTGCTTAATACAATGCAAGTACATGCTTGAATTTCATGCGGAATGCCGCCATATTTTTTCCTTGAAAATCCATGTATAATTATATTTTCACTCAGAAATTATGAAAATGTTTATAAAATTATGTCTGTGTTTAGGTATCATTGTCTGGGTGTATAGCTTGAAGACATTATTAAGTTTGAATTCATGTATTCTAAGCCAGAAATTTAGAAAATGGCTCTATTGCCTCCACTACTGTAAAGAGAAGCTCATGAAGAGAAGTTTCCTTTTAGGGGTGACATTTATATCTATAGTGTTAAGGCTAACCTAAAAGAACAAAGCTATGCGTTTTGGGGGTTTTTTTGCCAGCTTAATTTTGCTGTTTTCATAAGGTGTTTTTTTTTTTTTTTTTGAGCTTTGAAATTTGGGTTTAGTTTTGAATGACTGCATGAGTCCTTTATATGGCTAGACCACAATTTATGTAGCATTTTCCTGGTTTTGATTATTTCAGTTGCTTACTTTTCATGTTCTTAATAGTGTGATGAATATATTTGTATATAAATATTGTTAGCATTTCCAAGAATTACAATGCTAAAGGTTATGAACTTCTTTAAAGAAAGTGAAAAACGGGGGCGCATGTATTGATATGAGGTAGAACTAGTGACTAAAGCAGCAGTCGCCAACCTTCGGACCTCATGGACCACCAGTGTTGGCGACTGCTGCTCCAAAGGTTTCCTTAAACCAGTGGTCCATGACCACTGGTCGGTGACCACTGGACTAAAGGTATGCATTATAAAGAAGGTGGCATGTAGCTTAATGCTCACTAATGATATCTATTATTAATAGTAATTAGATAAAAAAGGCACCATGCAGTCCCAGTCTCTGATTTTAGTGACAGAATAATCAGAGATGCTGATAAATAATGAAAGATGTAAGCAAATAAAATGAAGAGGAGGGAGAAACCAATGCTAGACCTTTTCTGTCTCAGAAAGCTATGGGGTCAGGGAGTTTCTAGGAGTCAATTAGTTGTAAAATATTAGATGGGGGTTAAAAAGAAAAAGAAAAGTGTAATATATAGATTTTAAAAAGATAGGAAGAAAAAAATGAAAGCTTACTCATAATCCCCTATCCAGTGATAAAAATTAACACTTTATTTTCTCAAGTCTTTGAATGTTAATTTAAAAGTATATATAAATGGATAGATAAATAGATGGATTATAAATATATCATTTAACATCCCATTATGTTACCTGCTTTTGTCACTTAAACATATAAATATTTTAATGTCAGTAAATGTGACTATGCATTATAATTTTCTGTTGCTGCCTAGAATTCCATTATATGATTGAACATATTAACAGATATTTAGGTTGTTTGTTTTCCCATTTTATAAACAATATAAACTTATCTCTATATCTCCAGTGCCCCTGTTATATTTGAGGCTGTCTTTTTAAAAAAATTTAAACTGTTAGTCCTTTAGTTTTTTCTTCATCTTTTCTTGCCCTATTGCAGTCTGTTGTCCATACATTTGAATGAACCAATGCCGTGGTAAGCATTTTGTACACATATCTTTGTGTACTTGTTTATTTATTTTTACTAAATCTTAGAAATGGAATTTCTGGATCCAATTAATAGGTAGGCATGTGTAAGGTTTTGGTACATACAGGGTGGGGCAAAAATAGGTATACAGTTGTTAGTATAGAAAAGAATACAATAATTAAATAATAATACAAGAACAAACTGTGTTTTGCATACTCACAACTGTAAACCTACTTTTTCCACACCCTGTATTGCAAAATTGTCCTCATAAAGATTTTTACAAATTTACTATCATTGTCACATATGTGTTGGTCCCATATCCTTACACATTTGCCAACAATCTTTTAAATCTGATGTTCTTAGAAACTCCGGATCTCACTAAATTTCATGCTAGTCTATTACTTGCAAATATTTACGAGACTGCTGGAGAAAGGGTTAAGCTAGGGATTGCAAATATTTATAATACTATTGTTTCCCTTTCTGAGGCTGTACCAAATAGGTGATTGACACTGCCTGAATTAAGTTCTTAAGAACAGATATAATGTTTTATTTTTTTATTTCAGAGAAGAGGGGAGAGGAGAGAGAGATAGAAACATCAATGATGAGAGAGAATCACTGAATGGCTGCCTCCTGCACATCCTACACTGGGGATTGAGCCCGCAACCTGGGCATGTGCCCTGACTGGGAATCGAACAGTGACCTCCTGGTTCTTAGGTCGATGCTCAACCACTAAGCCACACCGGCCGGGCAGGACAGATAAAGAATTTTAGATTGCAAGGAAGTTCTTGAGGAAAACTTATAACAGGAAAACACAGTAGTTATTGGGTCAACTCAGGTCTGGGGTTTTCTGTCATACTGCTTATGACTAGGAGTAGTGGAACTAGAATGTTAATACTTCTGACATTTCTAAAGTGGGGAAAAACTAGTCGAGGGCTGTCATTTTGTAGAGACAGTTATTTTGTTCTGCATTAAGGGAATCCCTCCTTTCCAGAAGCACAGATATGGAACTGAATGTAAACAGTAAAAATTATAAAATTTAATAAGCTCTCAGATAAGATTAGAAGCTTTATATACACTAAATATACTTTTAGTTTTGCACTTACTCCCTAAGGAGATGTATTGGTTGTCTATACTTACCAGATCCCAGTCTTGTGGTTTTTCTTATTTTATTTTTTTATTAAAGCCAGAGTATCACCAGTGTTGTTTTGAATCTTCTTTTAAGGGCAATTTACATAATTTGTTTTGACTGCTAAGTAGAAAAGTTTGTTGTTGGATGTTAACTGGTTTGGTTATGCTGCAGCTTAACCAAGTCTAGGGGTTTCAAATAGACCAGCCATACATTTTAAGGTTTCCATAACATGATAATTCATTATGGTGTTATTTTTGAGAAAAGGAAAGAAGTTTCAGATTATGTTCTCAATGGCACCATTACGGGTGATTCATGTGGCTGTTGTACTGATCTGAATCAGATACATTTCCACTTCTGGCACAGGTGGAGAAGGACGGATTTGTTAGGTAGGGAGAACAGATATATGAGTGACTGAACCTAGTCTCCCAACTCTTGTTAACAGGGTTGAACTGAAATCTGGAAGTATATCAAGCCTTGGATGTGCTTGGAAAGATTTGTGAACGAATCCTTCCTCTTTCCCCCTGAGCTCCTGCTTTTCCAGAATAAGCTGGAATTCTGGATTTTTGAGTTTTCCAATTAAAAAAAAATTTTCATATTCCCATCACCCTTCCCTTTTGCAATCATCAACTGGTTCTCTATATCTGTGGGTATGGATACAGTTTTAATTAAGCTTAAAGGTAGACTGACTATAGTTGAAGTTAAGTAAAATAATGCTTTAATTAACATCTTCTGGTTACAGGTTAAGAATGTTTATTGAAAACCTTTGGAGGGTAGGGTGGGTTGGGATGTAAGTTTTAGGAAAAATGGGCCTGTAGGGGACAATGCGCATTTTCAAGAGACATCTAGTAAGTACACTCTTGCTTTTTTGTTGTTGTTAATAGTCAGCTGAGGATATTTTTCCATGGATTTTTTTTTTTTTAAGAGAGAGTAGAAGGGAGGGAGAGACAGAGAAACATCGATGTGAGAGAGACACATCTATTGGTTGCCTCCCTCATGGCTGTAATCTGGGGCTGGGGTTGGAGCCTGCAACTGAGGTTCATGCCCTGGACTGGAATTGAACCCAAGACCCTTCAGTCCAAGAGCCTCCTCTCTATCCACTGAGGCAAAACGGTTGGGGCCACTCTTTTTAAATGGTGGATTCCTTTTTTACATTTAGTAATCAGAAACCTGTAAGAGTTTTACTTTGTAAAGCTTGTTGTTTCATTTTAATATAAATATAAAAATTAGAAAGTAAGGCTAAATCCTTTTTAATTTTTTTACATTGTCTTAGGTACTTTCATGTTTGAGGTGGCATTCACCTAGAAATAGCACATCTATTCTATATATATATCTTAAAGCCTAAGCGACTGTTATTACTGAATGACCAGAACGACCGGTCGACCAGTTGCTATGACACGCACTGACCACCAGGGGGCATACACTCAATGCAGGAGCTGCCCCCTGGTGGTCAGTGTGCTCCCACAGCCAACCTCCTGCACCAGCCAACCACCCATGGTCCCTCCCCCTGTCTAAGGCTCTGAGCACTGGAGAATCTGGGCCTGGGAAGCCTATAGGAGGAGAGCGACCTTGACACTGATCGAGACAGAGTAGCACCTTGGAGGGGGCAGAAGGGGCAAGGCGTAACTTTGCCTAACTGCAAAGACGTAAAGTTAGCACCACTGCCATCTTACCTCTGCCACTACACTGTGCGCCACTTGCCCTTCTGCCTTCCCCCGTTCCCCCCCCCTGCTCCCATCAACCACTTCTAGCTTTGCTCACGCCTTTCCAGAAGGTAGAGGCAAGCAAAAAATCTACACAACTAGATTGGGGCCTGTGGCCAACCTCCTGCGCTGCGCCCCCCGCCCCCCGCATGAATTCGTGCACCAGGCCTCTAGTCTGGTACATAAAACCCTTAGCAGATGCTCCTGGTTGAGTAAGGGAGTGAGCAAGGTGTGAGTAAAAGCTAGATTTTTTTTACATCCGTGGTCTTTGCTTGCCTCTACCTCTGTCTTGAGAGGAAGACAAGACCCATTCATATGTAGCTTTACACACCAACTTGTGAAGTGACCTAGTCTTCATGATTACCTTTTAGATTTTTCTCTCTTTTTTTTGGATTTGTTATTAGGCCAAAGCAAAGGTTGTTTTCTCTTGTGAATTACTGAACCAAAGAAAAAAAGCTGGTTGAAGTGATTCCTTGATATAATTGGAGTTGATGTTTTATCAAACAATATTTGGTTATATTCCATTTAAGATGAAGAAGATGACTTTATGTGTAAGAAGGCAGCCTCTAAATCAAAAGAGAATGGAAGATCTACAAATAGTTATCTTGGAGCATCAAACATGAAAAAGAATGAAGAAAACACTAAGACCAAGAATAAGCCTTTATCGCCAATAAAACTTACCCACACATCAGTGCTTGATTATTTTGGAACTGCTAGTGTCCAAAGATCAGATAAGAAGATGGTGGCAAGCAAAAGAAAAGAGGTGAGTGTTCTACATGCAAGCAAGAATGTTCAGGAATGTTAATTCGCTGTTATTAATAAGAGGAGAAATTTGGATGTCATGATAGAGCAACATATTTTATTGATAAAAAATTTTCCTATGATTATGGACAAAATTTATTGCCATCATTTTAGAGGATGAGGAAGTTAGACTATTTAATTTTTTATATTTGAAAGTGGAAAAAGATCATTTAAATTGTATGAAAAAATTATAATTCTTAGAATTTAAATACTTAGAATGCAAACTCGTTTTACTGTTCACCGCAAGTAGATAAAATTGGACAATGAATTTGTTCCCAAATGAGGTCCTAAGTACATAACTTATGTGCCAATGTTACACTTTTGACATTTTCTACTTTGGTTGATGTTGGATTTACATTTTTCTGGAAATTTATGAAGCAGGAATACAGATAAATTATAGTGAAAGTAGTCCCTGAGTCAAAGCCTGCCAAATGCTGTGTTTTTGTTGATTTTGTTAGTGCCTCCATCGGACAGTGTAATCCTTCTCACTATTATGTCATACCATGAAGAAAACTACAAGTGGTGGTGGTTGTGTTTTTCTTTGGCCGGGGAAGAGCTGGGGGGTTACTTTTCTTGAACATTTCAATAGAATTAAGTGAGAACCATCTCTGCAGAATATTTGCTTATTAGGAAAATGGATGTGGTCACTGAGTAGTCATGAACATGACTTTCTGGCTGGTGTGCATTGAGACTATTTCATTACTGATACACTTAACTTTCACTGGTGTATTTAATCAGCTACAGTAAAAAAAAAAAACACCTTATTTTTAACTTAAGTTTTATGCTGATCTTGCGTGATTTTCTTTGAAATACAGCCTTCAAAAAATGCAAATGATTCCAGATTAAATGATGAAGCCATTGCCAAACAATTGCAACTTGATGAAGATGCAGAGGTATTGCCATTTTGTTTAGATATCATTAACAACTTGATGTTCTGACTTTAGTTAGTCTATCCAGACAAACAATCAAGATTATTGTAGGCCAGCGGTTCTCAACCTGTGGGTCGCGACCCTTTGGGGGTCGAATGACCCTTTCACAGGGGTTGCCTAAGACCATCGAAAAACACATATATAATTACATATTGTTTTTGTGATTAATAACTGTGCTTTAATTATGTTCAGTTTGTAACAATGAAAATACATCCTGCATATCAGATATTTACATTATGATTCATAACAGTAGCAAAATTGCAGTTATGAAGTAGCAACGGAAATAATTTTATGGTTGGAGGTCACCACAACATGAGGAACTGTATTAAAGGGTCACAGCATTAGGAAGGTTGAGAACTACTGTTCTAGGCTAATTATGGATTGAGCCTCATTATGAGTTATGTGTAAAATAAGTTAACATTTAGCATATAAATATCTAAATTTATATAAAATGATAAGAGCAGGGGATAATTATTTAGAGATTTATTATTAAATTTATTTTTTAAAAATTTTTTTTATTGATTTCAGAGAGGAAGGGAGAGGGAGAGAGAGCTAGAAACATCATTGATGAGAAAATAATTGATTTGCTTCCCCCTACACGCCCCCTACTGGGGAGTGAGCCTGAAACCCAGGCATGTGCCCTTGACTGGAATCGAACCTGGGACCCTTCACTCTGCAGGCCGATGCTCTATCCCAGTGGCCGGCAAACCACTTCAATCGTTGTACTGTTGATATTTGGCTCTGTTGACTAATGAGTTTGCTGACTACTGCTCTATCCACTGAGCAAAACCAGCTAAGGCTTAAATTTCTTTGAATGGAAGCCTCCTTGAGTATAGTTAAAAACAATTTAATTTGGTCATATCTCTTTTCTTTTCACTGTGGGTGATCTCATCCACCCCTGTGGCTCTGATTGTGTGGATATGGTGATGATCCCTAAATCTGTTTCTAATTTATAGTGTTCTCTTGAGCTATAAACCATAGATGCATTCATTAAGCATTTGTTGAGCAGTTATTGAGTGCATGGCACAGTTCCAGGTTTAAAATAATTATGTCATGCTCTTAAGAGAACTAAAGGGATAGTTTTGGGTTTCTTTTTTAGTAAAGCACCGTTATTACATGAGCTAAATTGGGAGGGAAGAGGATTTATTTGCATTTCCGGGCCTTGATTTTCCTCAGCTTGGACTCCAGCTCCTTGCCCTCTAGCACATAGTCATCTGCTCGGCTACTTTGGCCTGGTACTGAAGGATGGATGCAAAAAGCTTGCCTATTGGAACTGCTCTACTAGAAGACTGCTGATTTTGGCATTCTTTTTCCTTTCATCATATTTCTTCTGAATTTTTTTTATCATTTTTTGTTTAAAATCTCCTCCTCCTCAGGAGTCAGCTTGGCCCCCTTCTTGTGGCCCAGGGGCAGTGCAGAGTGGGACTTGTACCAGTCTGTAGGGTGTGCTTGCTGTCATTGAGCACGATGAAGTTCTGTACCAGGGTCTTGGTACGGACCAGTTTCTTGTTGGATGCATTGTAGGCAACATCAGTAATCCTTTGTTTGCATGGACAACACTCGGGGCCCCAGGAGAAGTTGCCATGCCCAGCCTCAAGGCTTGGTGCTTATTGCTGCCTCCCCGCATGTGAACCCCGTGTATGTGGCAAGGGCCAATCTTAGTGTTGGCAGCAGGGCGTCCCAGCTCATATTTTCACTTCTTGTGGCAAAGTTTTCTTTTGCCCCAGATCTTGTGGTGCTTCTGCCAGTTGTCCTGAGAGATACCCATGACTTGGCGCCAGCTGGAAAGAGCATGAGTATTCTGTTTTAAGTAGAGGGGTCAGGACAACCCTTCTGAGGAAGCAATATTGGGGCACAAAATGAAGTGATAATGGCAAGCCATGGGGCTGGCTACCGAAGGCAGATTTCCTCTAAACAGAACAGCAAGTGCAAGCATCCTGAGGTAGGAGAGTTTGAGTTTGATGAGTTCGAGAATGGCCAGCAGCAAATACTGTAAGCCACGACACGTCTTTAGTACCTACCCAAAAGACTTGGATGGTAAGGACTTTGGATTTTAGTCTCTGTGTTGAGTAGATGTGACATGAATTTACAGATCTTAAAAGAAAATCATTCTGGCTGCTATGAGGCTAATAAACCGTGGTGGGGCAGGACCAAAAGCACATCAGTTTGGACACTGTTCTGGGGGAGTAGGTAGGTGAGAGATGATGTTGGCTTGTACCAGGATGGTAATGGAAGAGATAGAAGTGGTTATGATCTGTGCTTTGAACGTGTAAACTTCAAGTTGTTGCTGAGAGATTGGATATAAGGTATGAGGGAAAAAGAAGATTCAAAGATAGACTGTATGTTTTTGGGCTTGAGCACCTGAATATTCATTTATTAAGAGGAACACACTGGTAGAGAAATCAAGAATTCTGTTTTGGACATGTTAAGTTTGAGGCTTCCAAATGGATATGCAGAGTGGGTGGTTGGGTGGTGGAATGTGGAGCTCAGGAATGAGGTCTAAACTGAAGATGTATATTTGGGAATCACTAGCATTTGAATGGTACTTAATTAAACCTGTGTAACTGAATCAGACCATGGGGAGAGAAAATTAATAGAGAAGAAACCTCAGGATTGAGCGCTGTTAATATTTAGAGATTAGGTAGAGGAGGATGATCCAGCAAAGGAGATTTAAGAAAGAGTGGCTAGCCCAGCTGGCTTGGCTCAGTGTCTAAGCCTCTACCTATGAACCAGGAAGTCACAGTTCAGTTCTCGGTCAGAGCACATGCCTGGGTTGTGGGCTTGGTCCCTGGTCTGGGGTATGCAGTAGGCAGCTGATCAGTGATTCCCTCTCATCATTGAAGTTTCTATCTCTCTCTCCCTCTCTCTTTGTCTTAAAAATCAATAAAAATATTAAAAACAAAACAAATAAAAAGAGTGGCTAGTGAAATAGGGAAATGAGGAGAGTTTGGTATTTCAGGAAAGCCAAGTAAGTATTCATCTCAGAGGTGTCAGACCTTGGTACCTACTGTTTGAACCCTCTTCCTGTTTATTAGCTTAAGTGTCACTTTCTCATATTCCCTAAGCTATATTAGAAACCCATCCTATATGCTCAGTCGTGCTCCATTGTAGCTACTATTGATTTTGTTATAATTGCTACCTAAATGTCTTCCTATATGTGGGCTATAAACTACCTTCCGGGGCTGTTTATGGCCTCATGCAACTATTGTGCCATCCCTGATACGTGCTTGGCGTGTTGTTGTGAGAGAATAGTATTCTGGTCGTTTGGAATATGTCTGACTTATCCAGATTTTATTAATTTGACAGTTCACAGTGCTTTCAAAATCTTTTTCCATCTTATTTGATTACACTGGATTACACAAACTACAAACCAGGTATCCATACAACTCAAGACAGCACAAATGGCCTAGGTAGACTTGTGGAGTTAATTTTTAGGGACCTGACTTCTTATCTGTCTCAAATACTGGAGGCTTACCCCATTCTTTGCAAACCAGGTGTGGTACTCTGTCACCATTCCCTATTTTCTCATTCCTATCACACTTTTTCAGAATCTTGTTTGGGTAATTTATTAGTCTGTTGAAGAGTTTTTAGGGTGTTAGTGACTGATGGTATCTTTCCTGATTATCCCTCTTAAGTTCATTTTTTCTCTCCCTTTCTCCTTTTTGTTTATTCCTTTAGTTAAGTGTGCGTCCAATAACTAAATCAGTAAGTCAGTATGTAGACAGTATGTTAAATACCATCTGCTGTGCTAAACATTGTATTAAAATATAGGGCTTTTCATCACATATCTCAAAATATTGTCACATTTACATGTTTAATGCATATTTAATCTAGGAAATTAACCCTCTTCAAAACAAATATATGTTATTGAATAGCTCTGTTAGAGACGAAGTAAATAAAGGTATTAAAAAATAAAATAAATTAAAATGTAGGGCTTTTGATCATATGATGCCATAATCACCAATTATGAATTTTGGATGAAAGTATTTAAATTTCTTCCGTCATCTAAATAATCTAGAATCCTTATCTACATAATCTAGAAGTGTACTACATAGTGTGAAATTTTGGAAAAACGGTATGGGTTCAACTATAAATTTTTGCAGGGCTACTGGAGGCTTAGAGATTGAAGGACCTTTTTATGGTGAAGGTTTTCATATTCATTTTAGCAATTAGATGTGTAGTGCAGTTATGGTAAAGAAATACTAGACAACAGAATATATTGATGTGCACCTCTGGCTTATAGTTCTGCATAGTTGGATTTAGTTCATGTATTAACAAGAAAAGACTTGGTTACTGTGTTCTCATCAGACTTATGCCATTTTCCAAGCCTTTTTAGGATTGGGTAGATTTTGAGGTTTTTTTCATATGTTTGAATAATATTGGGATGCCTTTGTTCGATGTTACATTAGGCCATTTTATCAAGGGACATAAAACTATTTAGTTTCTAATGAGAAATGTATTCCACTGCTACACATTCTTTTCTGGAAGAACTCCATTTTGCTGAAAGTGAGAATGTTTGTGTACTAACATTAGCGTGTTAGGAAAACTTCTGATATGATGACTTAAATTTTCAAAAGTCAGATACATTTGGATTAGTAATTGATAGTTATATTTGTGTATGACTTATGTTTGTAAAGAAAATGTGTAATTTTCTTGATTTATTTTTATATTTATATTTTATTTATTTTTTGTTAATCCTCACCTGAGGATATGACAGGGCTGGGGATTGAGCCTGCAACCAAGGTGCATGCCCTTGACCGGAATCGAACTTGGGACCCATCAGTCCTTGGGCTGATGCTCTATTCACTGAGCCAAACCACCTAGAGTTTGATTTCTTGATTCACTCTTTTTTGTGCCCTCCAGACTATTGTTTTTCTATTAGGATGAGGTTATTTTCAGAGCTTTTCTAGAGTTTAAATAGAAATAAGAGATCTATAAGTATTGCATTAGGACCATAAAGAAAAAATTGTAGATTTCAAACTTTACAAGTAAGAAATATGGCTTTAAAAATATGTTCAATTTATCTGTCTGCCTGCAAAACTAGATATATTTGTTCTGAAATCTAATACGGCTTAGTGAAACAAACCTGTGATACTGTTAATAATAAATGGAAAAATGTCATAGTTACTTTCTGGAAAATGTTTTCCAGTTTCTTCTGTGTATCATGAATCAAACATTTAAAAACTTTAATTTACAAAAAGAAAAAAAAATGACTCACTCTGTTGACACTTTTTTACAGCTGGAGAGACAACTGCATGAAGATGAAGAGTTTGCCAGAACGTTAGCCATGTTGGATGAAGACCCTAAGAACAAAAAGGTGGCGTTTTTACTGGGCTGTTTGCACACTGAGTGTACAACACAGATCAGTGTTCCCTTTCATACCTGTGTAGTGTAAGCTCTGAAGATAAGCCAAGACTAACTTCTAAAAAGAAGCTAAATTGTTTTAATTTATAAAAATGTTTTTGGGGAAGCTCATTGAGGAACTTATTCTTCCCGTCGGAAGTTTGATAGAGCCAAAGCGAACCAGAACCTTGCTTCACAAAACAATGAATTGCAACCTTTGCTTACTATCTGTCATAAAGGGGTTTTATATACTTGTTCAGAGAATATGCTTATAAAGATTCCTGTGGAACCTAACGTTTAATAATTGTAATATTTATTACCATTTTGGGAAGCATAATTTTGCCATTTTAAATTAACTTTAAGATCTGTATTAGGACAGTCTCAAAAGATGAGTATTTGGGGCAATTTTTAAAAGCATCAAAATTCTTTTTAAGTACTTGATCATCAAAAAATTAGACTTAATTTATTTTGAATCCCATTCTGATAATTGTCATTAGCACTATCTTACTATTTAAAAAGATTTTTTAGCAGTCAGATATATGACCTAGTGGGTCATGAGGACTTTGTCATTTGAGAAGCCTTACTCAGTACATGTAAAGACATTCAAATTATAACTATTAAAAAAAATAACCGGGTCACACACCCCAATCTGTGATCTCTTTGTAAAAGGAAGTTCTGAGGAAGCAGTGGAAAGAGAATGGATATTTTTTTCTCTTTTGAGCTGTATATTGTTTTTCATGTAGTCTTTTGGGTTTACATTTTAGTTTTTAACCTCATAATGCTAACAATTCGAGAATTGAGGTGAAAGAAGCAGAAATAAAGCTTTCATTTCTAGGCTTACAAATTTGGAAGAATTGTGATAATTTTTTATAGAATATGTTTTGTATATCCTTTTCATCTGTTTTCTCGTCTGTAAAATTAAAAGAAGTAAAACATGCTTCATTTGCTCCAGAAATTTTGTGGATGAATGAATGAAAATTTATTGTATTGTCCTTCTATGTTGGAAGATGGCCCTAAAAAGGAAGGAACTCTTACCATTTGCAACGGCATGGATGGAACTGGAGAGCATTATGCTAAGTGAAATAAGCCAGTCAATAAAGGAAAAATACCACATGATCTCACTCATTCATGAATAATTGAGACCTTTATAAACCTTAATCTTAAAATTAAAATTTAAATTAAAAACTGGTCAATTTTAACAACATATTTTGTGGTAATAGTTTTCTTACCATTTGTCACATTTGCCACTTTTAAAATTTTCTTAGGCTTTAAAGGACCCAGAAGAGAGAGAAACGTTTTCATCTGTCCACGGCAATTTAAACAAAGCAGAAAAACATAAATGTCCTTATAAAGGTAATACTAGCAGAAAAAAATAAGCTGGAATATTTATCTTTATAGAAGAAAATTTATGGTAACTTTGTTTAAACATTCTATCAATAACTGTTAAACAGACATTATTTCATAGGAATATTGGAGCATGTTCTACTTAGATACTTTGAAAGTATTTAGGTATTAGTTGGTCAGAGTACCTGTCTACTCTGTGATCGTTTTGAGAAAAGTTCACAGCTCTTGGCTGCATGTTTATCTCCATGTGTACTGCAGCCTGTGGACTCCAGCGTGTGAAGACAGAGAGCTAGATGCTTCCAGCTCAGAGCTGACTGGTCGTTGTCAGGTCATCTGAAGCTCCTGCTGACTGCCCAGAAGTTTTACTTTTTCGTGGTTCTGATATGTAACCATCTGCTAGGATAGATGGTCTTAATCCTATAGGTAAATCTGTTCATATAGTAACTTTTAGTCTTGAAATCTCTAGGATTTGTGGCTTTCAGACCATATTACAGAAATTTTATGTGCCGTATTTTAGTAAGTTTTCTCAAGGCAAATTTCAGACCACTGAAGATTATCTGTGGAATAAAATCCATGTTCTTAGATGTAGTTTATCATATTTCAGTTAATGAGTAATTTGTATTTAAAAACAGATTCCATAATTCGAACTGGTTATACAAAGAAATAAGATACAGATGTTTAATTTTTACTAAGTGTGCTGTATGAAGAACTAAAATCATAATGTAAACATTATGAAATCATCTATGACATTGTGCACTACTGAGATTACTCAGTAGAAAAATGAAAAAATAATCTCGTTGTTGGGTATCATTTTCCAAAAAACAACAATCACACACAGTCTTTTCTGTTTCCCTAGTAAAAACAGATCACTTCTTGGATGAAAGAAAGAACTGCAGTCCTAAGAAGCAAATTAAATGTGAAAGTTCAAAAGAATCTCAGCAACATTCCAAGTCTTCAGCTCACAAAAGAGGAGAAACTTCTTCTCCTACAGCTAGTTCCAAGCTGACGCTTTTGAAAAAAAAGGAAGAGAGTTCTTCTAAAGAAACAGAGCCTGTGTCCTTGAAAAGAAAAGAATATGCCATTGAATTGAAAGGAGAGGCAAAAAGTCCTAAGAAAATCAAAAGTTCTCCTGCTAAAAAAGAGGTAGAGTTTTCAAAAAGTGTATCATGTTGGGGCTATGTGTTGATCTGGGTCTGATTATTTTAAAGTTTTCTAATTTTATAAGTCATTATGGCACTTTTAAGATACCATCTTATTTAGGTCATAGGTTACTAATATAGCTAAATTAGCCGATATTTACTGAATGTTACTGTGTATCAGATACGGTGCTAAAACATATGTAATCTTCACAACAACCTTGTGAGATATTTTCTTTTATTATTCAGCTTTTAAAAAAATTGACTTTTAGAAGAAAGGGTGGGAGAGAGAGAGAGATTGATGTGAGAAAAATACATCGATTGGTTGCCTCCTGTATGTGCCCTTACCTGGAATTGAACCTGTGACCTTCTGGTGCATGTGACAGCGCTTAAGCCACTGAGCCACACTGGCCAGGGCTTTATTATTCAATCTAAAGACGAGTAAACAGGATGACAGCATTTAAGTAACTTTTACAGGATTATCCAGCTGGTGGGTTATAGAGCCAGTTTGAACTTGGGACTTTGGAGGCCAAACAATGCCGTATAACATGGTGGCTCTGACATGGAGATGGAACCAGTTTCAGATCATAGCGCTGCCACTAAGCAGATGTGTGATCTTGGTCTGGCTACTTGCCCTGTGTCTGCTTGGATTCCTCATTTGTCAAATAGGGATAATAATGAATTGGTATGTAAAACCATTTAGAACAATGCCTGGCACATAATAAGTGCTATATAAGCTTTTGCTATTATTAAAATAATTATTATTTGTACTTGTCTTGAATGTACTCCTCTTTGCTCTTGTATAAAAATGTTGAGATACTGAAATCATTTTCAAAGGAAAGAAACAGTGAAATAATGCAAAATGGTTTTTAAAAGTTTTCTGTGTTTTCATCTCCAATTTGGAACGCCCTTTGATTCATAATGAGAAACCACATTCCTTCAAGCCTTCTAGGCACTTAGAATTAAAAGTAGAATATTGCCTATTTTAACTGCTCATTACCATTTTTTAGTGCAGATCAGTGAAACGGTGATGATTTCAAGATGCTTTTTTTTGTTTGTGGTCAGTGCTCATAAATACGCTTAAGGGAACAATGAACTTTTGGTCTCAGATTTTTCTTCACTAAATGCTTATCTGGTAGGTGAATGTTTTTCTTCAGGCACTCTAAACATGTTCAATTTACAGAGGCTTGTGTGTTTTTATTAAAGGAGAAGAAATCTTCAAGTGATATTTTCCTCTTTACTGTATTTTTCAAAGTTGGAATAGAAGTGACTTAGAGAACTTAAGCAGTTTTGAGAACATCTATTTAATAAATTCAGTCTAGCCTGGCCAGTGTGCCTCAGTGGTTGAGTGTTGACCTATGTACCAGGGGTTCGCCGGTTCGATTCCCAGTCAGGGCACATGCCCAGTTGTGGGCTTGATCCCTGGTGGTGGGTGTGTAGGAGGCAGCAGATCAATGTTGATGTTTCTCTTTCATCGATGTTTCTATCTCTCTCTGGGCAGGTGTATTTTAATACGCTTCTCATATGTATGCACACCAACATTTGAGAACCACTGTGAAAATGTAGAGTTTCTAGGATCAATCTATAATGGCTTACTTATTTTATAACCAAAGCAGCTTGCTTATTTTGTTGATTAAATCGCTTATTTGTATTGAAGTAATATTTTTGTTTACTCTCAGAGGTATTTGAGGCAGCTTACAAGTTAAAAATAATGTAAAACAGGGAGTAGGAAAAACAAGTGACCATTTTGTAGTGGTTTTTAAATCAGAATTATCTAGGATGTTTTTCCTACAAATACACATGCCGACGCCATACTCCATATCTCTGAATTAGAAACTTAGTGTTAAGTCTAGGGATATAGTTTGAAAAGTTTCCCCATGATTTTCTGAGACAGACATACTCAGCGTAAGATCTCCTGAATAGAATAGGAGAGATTAAACTTAGAAGGAAGAGTGATGGTGTGTAGAATATGTTTGCTTTTTGGAGTAAAGTTTGCCCCTTGTTTGAGCCATCTGTTTCTATGAAGCCATTAATTCTCAAGACTGTAGTGTTTATATCCCCAGGGGTATAGAGCCATTTAGGCTGTTTTAGGGGAGTGCAAAGCATTAGGATAAACATAGGATGTCTTCTTGTGTAACCAGTTTACATGGATATATTGTGAAATAGAATTGTAAAATTCACATGCATCTTTGAAATAAAATACACTCCTTTGATTTTTTTTTGCTTGGGGCTGGCTTATGCACCTAACCTGCCCTGAGATGTGTGCCTTTAGAGAGAGTGGAAAGGTTTGACAGAGACTGGTGCAGAGATGTTTACAATCTAGGTATGTGTAAATTGGGGAGTACCTGTGTAGCTAAAAGTGTAAATTTCAGGACTAATGCTTATTTATTAATATGTATTTTTATTTATTTATTTAATTGATTTTTTACAGAGAGGAAGGGAGAGGGATAGAGAGTTAGAAACACCGATGAGAGAGAAACATCAGTCAGCTGCCTCCTGCACACCCCCCACTGGGGATGTGCCCACAACCAAGGTACATGCCCTTGACCGGAATCGAACCTGGGACCTTTCAGTCCGCAGGCTGATGCTCTGACCCACTGAGCCAAACCAGTTAGGGCTTAATATGTATTTTTAATGTTCCGTAAATTTTGTATGACTTTGTTCTTTCCTTTCTCTATCCTTAAAGTCCGTAAGTCCTGAAGATTCTGAAAAGAGACGCACTAATTATCAAGCTTATCGAAGTTACTTAAATCGAGAAGGTCCCAAAGCTCTGGGCTCCAAAGAAATACCAAAGGTGAGAACACTGCGAAGGCATGGCATCCTGTCGGGGCCTCTGACTGGTGGGTCAGTGTATGTGTGCACTATGTTTTTACAGCAGCATAGAATTGATAATTTAAATTAACAGAAAAGCCACAGTCACCATAGTTACTAAATAGAGGTGTTTATTCCCATTATGAGTCACTGCTTGATACTTAGAAAAATTTCAGTGAGCTACAAGTAGCCCCAGGGGCTGGGCTTTGAGGCATCCAGCAATTACAAGACTGCCTTCATGGTACTCATGGTCTAACTCAGGAAAGAGACTGTTAGTAAATTATTTTTTACCTACTAGAGGCCCGGTGCACCAAATTTGTGCATGGGTAGGGTCCCTAGGCCTGGCTGGTGATCAGGGCCTATCATGCCTTCCTTCCCTGGCTGCCGGCTGAGGCCTTCCTTTGTTCCACACCACCCCCTGGTTGTCAGCACACGTCATAGCGAGTGGTCGAACTTCTGATTGGTTGAACTCCCGAGGGGACAGTTTGCATATTAGCCTTTTATTGTATAGGATAGTTGTGATATATGTGTCAGTCTTGCCTCTTGTATAAAGTGTGGGAAAGCCTCTGCTTGAGAGGACTTTAGGCAAAGTGGTGTCCTTAGGGGATGGGATAGTCAGGTTTCAGGGAAGATAAGCCTGTGGGGGCAAAGTTGGAGAAGAGTTGAGGATATTGGTGGTTTGCTGGTCCTGCAGTGAGAGCTCTAGAGTGGAAGAGTTTGGCAGCGAGGCTAGAAGTGCTGGGGTTAGACAGGCAAAAAGATACCCAGAGCCACAATGAGTGATAGGTAGTTTAGGAGATATAGAAGATTGAGATGTGGGAGAGGGCTTGCATGTTGAATTTTACAAGGTTATTTTGAAATTGTTGAAAGGTGTTTAAGTACTTGTAGTGTTCGCAAGATAATTTTAATCGTAGAATCATAGGGCTTGAAGGGACCTTGAGATGATATTAGTTAAACCTTTTCTCTCCCAGTCGCTTCAGATCTATTCTTTTTTTTTTTTTTTAAATGTTTTTATTGATTTCAGAGAGGAAGGGAAAGGGAGAGATAGAAACATCAATGATGAGAATCATTGATCGGATGCCTCCTACGAGTCCCCCACTGGGGATTGAGCCCGCAACCCGGGCATGTGCCCTGGACCGGAATCGAACCTGGGACCCTTCAGTCCGCAGGCCGATGCTCTATCCATTGAGTCAAACCGGCTAGGACTAGATCTATTCTTTTCCCCTCGAAAAAGATTCTTTACCTGGATGGTGAAGGATTGAACTTGTATTGTGCTAGTCTTTGAATTTTGTTTAGCTTCTTTTCAAACCTATTTTAAGACTGTGTTTAATTCTCTATTCAAAGAGATTGGTTTACATAATTTTCATTTTGCATGGTTATATCTTTTATTGTAAAAATAAAAAAAAGTCTATTACTATATACAGTTCCAATTAAGATTAAATGTCTCCTCCATCCAGCTTGCTTTGGCCAGTGTCTTTTATATTATTAAGTTACCTTTCCAGCCAAGAAATACCTTGCCGTTAAGTTATATATAGGTTGTTAGATTTACTATCATAAACAGCCAGAGGGAAGTGCAGGAGCTCAAACTTGTTTAGCTTTCAGAACTGAAGCTCTCTTTCTTCACAACAGCAAGAGTTTCTGTGGATGTTGCATCTAGATGTTTACTTACAGTTATACTAGTTCATAATGGGGGGATGAGGACACATTTGTAATACCTTAACCAATAAAGAAATTAAAAAAAAGTTATAGTTCACTAGTAGCTTAAATATTAAACATAATGAAAATAGTATGACTGTGTAATTTTAATAAGCTCTGCTAACTGTATTGAATGTGTTTTTTCCTTGTTGGTTTTATAAGTTTGTTAAGTATTAGCCTACATAAGAATTTCTCAGGATTTAATTTCAGTTTCTGCTTATTTGCTGTAAATTTCCGGGAAATTTTTCCATGCTGAGATTATTTATGATGTCAAATGAGAAAAGTCAACTTCCTGCAGTTTTGATGCCAAATATTTCTTTGGAAAGCTACCATGTAATTTCCTCTCTGCTTGAACATTTTGGTTTTTAGGGAGCTGAAAATTGCTTGGAAGGCCTTATATTTGTAATCACAGGAGTGCTGGAGTCCATTGAAAGAGATGAGGCCAAGTCTCTAATTGAACGTTATGGAGGAAAAGTAACTGGGAACGTCAGCAAGAAAACAAACTACCTTGTCATGGGCCGTGACAGCGGGCAGTCCAAGAGTGACAAGGTGGGTGCTGCTGTGTTCTCAACACAGTGAGACAGCCTGCACACTTTGGCATTTGTAGTAATGCCCTTTACACAGAGTTAAGAGGAGAAAAAATGGAGAAGCAATTTCTTCCCTGTTATTTCTTCTCCATGGAAGAGTTGGCTTTGATCCCAGGATTTTTGTCTTCCAATTGAAGCCACAGTTCGTGTTTGTTTGACTTTTTAAGTGTAGTATTCCAATTTAAATCTTATTTGAAGATAGAAGCAAATGCAGTTTTCTTTTTCTTTTCTTTTTTTTTTTTTTTAGTCCTAAGTATTTTTATATATTCCACTTACATTTTTTATTGGAACTCTGAAAGTGGGATTGTCTTTAGCTCCCAAGTCACAGAACACTCTACCTACCTTTGTTTAAACAAGTAGCTTATTTCCTTATGTAACAAGAAGTCCAGAGGTAGGCAGTTGCTGGGCTGGTTCAGAAGCTCAGTAATGTAGCCAGGCTATTTCCATTTTCCACCTCTTTTATCCTTATTTTGTTAACCTTAAACATTATGCATGTTGCCTTGTGTTGCAAGATGGCTACAGCTCAAGGCATTCAAGTCCACATTCAAGGCAGAAAGAAGGGAGCGGTGGCAAGATGTCATTCAGCTGTGACTGGCCTTACAAGAGTTACCCCAGAAATGACTTTTGTAAAAGCCCACTTAAATCTCATTGGCCAGACCTGTCACATGGTCTTTCAGTACTATAACGAAGGTTGGAGGGCGAGCACTTTCCTGATGGCCTTAGACCGATCATAATTTATCACTTGGGGATGGACACACTGGAGTTGTGTTGGTAGGGGAGACAGTGGGGAAAGGTGTCTGCCAGCCAAGCCAGTCCGGGGAGAGGGGATGGAGAGCTGGACTTAGGCCCTCGTGCGTTGCCTTTCTAGGGTAGAGCAGTGGTGCTGTGACACTTCAGGCACCAACTTAGTCTTAGGGATGTATCTGTCGTTTTCTTTCTTTTCAATGGTACTTTTCCATGAATATGGTTTAAAAAAAATAATTCCAGTGTTATTTAATTTACAAATGTGGCTTTTCACCAATTAAGAGGCCCAGATCTCTCTCTTTTTTCTTTTTAGCAGAAAGTAATGGTTAGAATACAGGTTTTTAATGGTTTGCATTTTTAATCACTAGGCAGCAGCTTTGGGGACAAAAATTATCGATGAGGATGGCCTATTGGATCTGATTCGAACTATGCCAGGCAAGAAATCTAAATATGAAATAGCAGTTGAAGCTGAGGTTTGTATAAAACGAACTTAATTTAAGTTGACTTGTAGCAACTTTCCTGTTTCATAGACATTTCTTGGGTGGCTACAGGCCTGTTGGCTGAAAGATTAACTTCCCCTTCTACTGCAAATGATTCTACCTTAATTCCTTTTGAGCAGGTGGACTCTGCTTCAGGATATCTTCTTTGATGCATTTCCTTAACTTTGTTGTTGTTGTTAATCCTCACCCAAAGACATTTTTCCATTGTTTTTTTATAGAGAGTGTGGAAAGGAGGGGGAGAGACAGAGGGAGAGAAACATCAATGTGAGAGAGACACATCAATTGGTTGCTTTCCGCATATGTCCGGGCATCAAGCAACCAATGTATGTCCCCTTGACCAGAATTGAACCCAAGACCCTGCAGTCCTCAGGCTGATACTATCCACTGAGCAAAACTGGCTAGGGCTTCCTTATCTTTAAGGGAATATGAGGAGAGAGAGACAGTGTTTTGCACTTACCCATATCTACTTATTAAACTTTCCATATTTTCCATATTCTTGCAATGACTTTGTGCAGAGGTTATTGCTTAAGAGTTCTTCAAAAGATATGATATAGTTATTGAGATGATAAATTAAATTTTAATTAGAACTTTTTCAGTTGTGATAGAAACCCAGCCCATACTAGCTTTAGCAAAAAGGGAAAAGTGTTGGCCTACATACCTAAACTATGGGCAGGGTGGGTCTGGTGTAGGATTACTGGTGGAGACTGGGCCCTTTCAGTTTTGTCTCTCTGCTTCTACTGGTGTTACTCTTGTTCATTCCCATGCATACAGGCCTTCTCCAAGTGTGGGACACGGGTGCCAGTAGGCCCAGTTTAATGTCCCAGCTCTGTAACTCAAGTGCAGGGTGCTCTGCCATTTGTTCCAGTTAGAAAAGTCTTAGGGAATGATTTGTATTGGCCCTTCACCCAGTGTTCCCTAATATCAACAACTTACATAACCATAGCAGTTATCAAAACCAGGAAATTAACATTGATACCGTGCCGCTAACTAAACCACACATGTTTTCCAAACGTCACATTTCCTCCTGTTGTCTTTTTTTCTGTTCCAGGAATTCCACACTGAGTTTAGTTGTTGTGTCTTAGTCTCCTCCAGTCTAAGACAGTTCTTTTGTCTTTCCTGGAGGAGCCATTCTTCCGAAAATTTGCATTTCTTTGATGTTTTCTTATGATTGGCTTGAGGTTATGCATTTTTGGCAAGAACACTACAGAAGTGATATTGTGTCCTTCACAGTGCATCATATCACGTCATGTGATATCTCTTATAATTGGTGGTGATAATCTTTTTTGTTATTTTTTTGGTGATAATAATCTTGATTACGTGGTTAAGTCAATATCTGCTGGGTTTCTCCACTAGTAAAGTGACTGTGTCCCCTCTGTAACTGATAGATGTATTGGGGAGATACTTTAAGACTATGCTAATATCTTGTTTCTCCTCAAACATTCACCCACTAATTTTAGTATCCACTCACTGGTAAAGAGGCACTAATTTTTTCCTTTTTTATTATTCACACCACAGAATTTATTATTTGGACATCATTCACACACCACACAATTCACCCCTTTTAAAGTATATAAATGAGTGGATCTTAGTATATTCGCAAGGTTGTGCAACCATCACTACAGTCTAATTCCAGAGCATTTCATCACTTCCTGAAGAAACCCTGTACCCATTCGCAGTTGATTCTAATGTCCACCCCCTGGCCACCACCACTCTACTTTTTGTGTCTATGGATTTGCCTACTCTGGACATTTCATTGAAAGGAATCATGCAATATGCCCTTTGTGTCTCGTTTCTTTCACTTAGCATAATATTTCCAAGGTTCACCTATGCTGAAGCATGTACCATTACTTCACTCCTTTTCATTGGTGATTAATATTCCATTGTGTGGCTATACCACATTTTGTTTATCCATTCATCAGTTGGTGAACATTTGGGTTATTTCCATTTTTTGGTATAATATAAAATAATATATGTGTATATAATATAATAATGCTGCTGTGAACATGTTGTGTATAGGTTTTTGTGGAGGTATTAACTGTCTAAAAATTTTGTTTTTCAATTACAGTTGACATTCTAATATAATATTAGTTTCAGGTGTATGGTATAATGGTTAGACATTTATATAACTTAGAAAGTGATCTCCCAATAAGTCTTGCACCCACCTGACACCAGATATAGTTATTTGGAGGCATTAGCTTAAAAAAAAATTTTTTTTTATTAATCCTCACCCGAGGACATGCTTTGTTTTCCAGAGAGAGAGGAAGGGGGGCGGGGGCGGGAGAGAAACATCAATTGGTTGCCTCCTGTACGTGCCCTGATACGGTATTGAACCCTCAACCTAGGGATGTGCCCTGACCGGGAATCGAACCTGAAACCTTTGGTGAATGCGACAATGCTCCAACCAACTGAGCCACCCAACCAGGGCTTTTTTGTTGTTGTATTTTTTGAGGTGACATTGGTTAATAAAATTATATAGGTTCAGGTATATTGTGTAAGACATCATCTGTATATTGTATTGTGTGTTTACCACCCAAGTCCAGCCTCCTTCCATCATCATTTATCTCCCCTATACCTCTTTACTTCCACCTCCCCATCTCCCCCTCCCCCTCAGGGAATCACTATGCTGTTGTCTGTGTCTGTGAGGTTTTTCTTTAATTAATCCTTTCACCTTTTTCGCTTAGCCTTGCAACCTTCCTCCCCTCTGACAGTTGTTAGTCTGTTCTCTATCCACGAGTCTGTTTCTATTTTGTTTGTTGGTTTATTTTGTTCATTAGATTCCACGTATGAGTGAAATTATATGGTGTTTGATTTCTCTGATTGGCATATTTCACTTTGCATAATGCTTGGCGGCATTAACTTTTAACTAGTTAGAAAACTGAAACAAAAATATCTTAATCCTTTACCTTGTTTTTTTTCAAACTGATATTGGGTTATTAAAAAAAATGTTCTCACTTTTAAAAATTGCATTTGGGTACTTTTCAGGGTGTTATTAATTTTTATAAAGTTTGGAAGTAATGATTGTCATAAACAGCAGGGTCCACTGTGAAGACAGACCCAGCTTGGGTAGTTTATTTGGATATATCAGATTGTCCTCTGGAGTACATGGAGCAGGATAGAAATTCTTTATCTCACCAGGTTTCTTTTTCCCTCACTTTTCCCATTTTTAAGATGAATAAAGAAAAGTCCAAATTACAGAGAACACCCCAAAAAAACTACCAAGGAAAAAGAAAAATTAGTCCAAATAAGAAGGAATCAGAATCCAGAAAGAGCCAACGGACTCCCAAAAAGGACAGCCCTATGACGTCAGTTAAAAAGGAAACCAGTGTGTTTCAGAGAGGCCTGGACTTCAAGGAGCAGGTGGCCGAGGAGACAAGTGGTGACAGCTGGGCTAGGAATTTGGCTGATGACAGCAGTGAAAATAAGGTGGCAAATTTGCTCTGGGTGGATAAATATAAGCCAACCTCGCTCAAGACCATAATTGGACAGCAAGGTGACCAGAGCTGTGCCAACAAACTCCTACGCTGGCTCCAAAACTGGCACAAGAGTCCGTCCGAAGATAGGAAACACGGTGATTTACAGCTCATTCATTTTTGTGTGTCTGTCACCATGTCATTGCTCAGCTGCACATATGTGAGGGAGTATAATAGTCGGTTCATTCATCTCTCAGCAAGCATTTATTGAGCACCTGCTCCGAGCCCAGGTGCTGCACTGTCTCCAGAGGTGCTGTTGTGAACAAAGCACAGCCCTCAAGGAGCTCAGCCAGTGGGGGAGGTAGACATGAGCCAGCGATTACAGTGTAATGTGCTGAGTATTACTAGAGGGGTAAGTATAGGGTGTTAAGGGGATGGAGGTGTGTAGTCAGGGATGGGGATGTGTGCTCTCATCCCTGGAGGAAGGGGTGTCTAAGCTAAGACTTGGAAACTAAGTAGGAGTTACTTAGGTGAAGGTGGATGTTTGATGGGAAAGGGTACATGTACCAAGATCTGAAGGTTATATGAACAGGACTGCGAAGAGTGCCAGGAGATTGGGGGAAAGGTGCAAATAGAGGCACAGTTATAGATTAGGCAGCCTAAAAACCTTGCTTTTGGTAGGCCTGATAGTCCTAGCTTCTCTAGGTTCTGTGCTTGTTCACCATGTATTTGTCATGGACTGTGAACACCACAATATACATTTAATGCCTAAAAGGTTATTGGAGCGGAGAGGTTTCAGATCACAGACATTGGTAGTGTTTTCTTGAGCTTCAGCTGTGAGCATCACAGTAAAGTCATCGTCAAAGTGGTGACTGCGTTATTAATGTGTGTGGTCACTAGACATTGGCCGAGGATGCCAATTTATTTTATTTGTATCAGATAATATAATTGTAATGATACAAGGTTAAATTTAAGTTGGCTCTCTCTTTCCAAAACCACATACAATCTACCCTAAAGCGGGGAGATAAGTGCTTTGTGTGCGTAGAGAAGATTAAGGCTTCAGGTTAACTATAGTCCCTTTTCCCAAGCATGCAGGAGATTCAAGTCTCTCTCAGTCATTGTGAGTGTATGTATGAGCACCCTGTATGTGTTAGGCACCGTGTCATAAGGGGAGGAAGAATTCTATGGAGCTGTGCAAGATAGTTGAAGGCACAGCACCTGCGGTTCATGCCAGGCTCTGCTTGGGCACATTCATCCCCTCAGCATCCACCCGGGCACATTACTGTTGTTATCCTCATTTTCTGAAGGAGGCAACAGGCCAGAGGGATACTTCCCAAGTTCTCCCCGCTGGTGAGTGGTGGAGTTAAGGGTAGTTGGGTTTAGGATTGGAGACCGGTAGTCTGCTCCATGACCTGTGCTTTTTAGCAAAGGGAATCATAAAAGTATTGTTTCAAGTCAGAGTTTTCAAGTTAATGAGTTTTAGTTTTTTATTTTGGGTGGAGGTGATGTAGGGAGTAGAACTTTTTCTAAGTGCTGTGGAACCTATTGTTTATACTTTGTAGAAAATATTCAGCAAATTTAGAATTAAACTGGAGGACTGCTCTCTATGCTAAGTTCATGCACAATTAATCCTGAATTCTATTAGCTAATATAGCTAACACTCTGAAACTTCTTTCTTTCTAACAGCAAAGTTTGGTAAATTTGCCGGCAAAGATGATGGCTCTAGTTTTAAAGCGGCATTGCTCTCAGGCCCTCCAGGTGTTGGCAAAACAACCACGGCCTCTCTGGTTTGTCAGGTGGGTGTTCTCTTGTAGTTCAGTTGGAGAGTACCGTCGGAGGGAGCTTGTGTAGGGGATATGTATGCTTGTGTGTGAGTATGTATGTGGTGTGTATATATTTTAACCGATTGTGTATATACTTTTCTGATATTGAAATCTTGAGATGGTTAGATTTAATTCTTTTCAGGACTTTAAGAAACAAACAGTAAAATTGCTTATTCGAATATATTCTTCCAGGTTAGTGATTTGTCAGCAGAGGTTTTAAAAGTAAATGTGTTTATATGTGTGTGATATGTATGAATATGATGTTTTAAAGTCATGATTGTGAGGTGTATTATAGTTAACCTCATTGTCTGTTATTATCATATTTTTTTTACTCCTCGTTCCTTGTGTGATTTTTTTCTTTTTAAAAAAAATATATTTTATTGATTTTTTTTTTACAGACAGGAAGGGAGAGGGATAGAGAGTTAGAAACATCACTGGGAGAGAAACATCGATCAGCTGCCTCTTGCACACTCCCTACTGGGGATGTGCCCACAACCAAGGTACATGCCCTTGACTAGACTCGAACCTGGGACCTTGCAGTCTGCAGGCCGACGCTCTGTCCACTGAGCCAAACCATCTAGGGCGTGATTTTTTCTTCCCTAACTCTTATTTTTTCAGGGAGGGGGGAATGTTAATTCGTCTCGTGATAGTAATGGTTTCCAATGTTTTGATTAGGAATTGGGATTTAGCTACGTGGAGCTGAATGCCAGTGATACTCGGAGTAAGAACAGTTTAAAGGATGTTGTTGCTGAGTCACTGAATAACACCAGCATCAAAGGCTTTTATTCAAGTATGTGGCTTTTTGAACTGTTTTCTTGGGTTAAGCAAGAAAAACAAGTTTATTTCAATGTGTAGTAACTGCTACTATGTACTAGGCACCCTGCTAAGTCCCGGGGCTAATGAGAATTAAGAAAAGCCTCTGCTGTAACTCCAATAGGACAATAGTTACCTTTTATTTTAGGTCTTAGAAATTTCTGAGAATGTGATAAAAATACATACATGGACATGTTTATGTATTTTGCATATGACTTTAGCGGATTCACAGGTGAATGCTATGAAGAGGACAAGAAAATAAATTGAGTGAGGTGACAGAGGCCTTTAGATGAAGAAGTGATTCTATTTGAGGCTTTGGGGGAGACTACCAGTAAAAGGGGAACATTTGTTTGCAGGGCCTTGAAGAATGAGGAAGAAACTCATTTGTGGGTGCAAGGGGTTCAGACAAGAGGAGTAGGGGAGGGGGAGACTGTGAAAGTGCCGCTGTGTTCTAGTACGGCCAGAGCTTATGGGGACGGTGAGATGCCCAGCTAGGACTGCACAGTGCATGTTTAGAACCTGTGGTATATCACAGGTCATTGGATTTCTTGGTACTTTCAATGGTAAAAACTCATTGTTAAAAAGAACTTGCTTGGGAAATGTCACTCTTAGACATTGCTGGAGGTAGTGTAAATTGGTACTGCTTGGCAGAGCAATCTGGCAGTATTTCTCAGAATTAAATTACACATTGCCTTTAACCCAGAAATCCTAATTTTTGGGTTCACTGTTAATATTTGTATATATGCAAAATGACATACACATGGATATTCATTAGTGTGATTTATAACAGCAAAAGATTGAAAGCAACTTCGCATTTTATTGATAGATAAGTAAATTATGATAGATGTGTAAAATGGAACATTATTAAACAGCCTTGAAAAGTGTGGTGTTCTGTATCTACAGGTAAGAACAGATCACAAAAACATACCGGATGATCAAACCAAGGTGTATATTTTTCTGCGTACATTTTTAACATGTACAGCATATCTCTGAAAGGATATAGAGTCTGCTCATACTGTTTGCCCTGGAGAGGGAATTTGGGTGCCCTTGGTGGCCAGGATGGGAGGGAGGATCTCTGCTCACTGCATTCTCTGGTACTGTTTGAATTTTGTACCATGTGTTGTTATCAGTTTCAAATGTGTGATAAATTGCTTATAAAGCAGCAGTGTTTGAACAACTGTTACTTTGTTTCTGACCCTTCCCATTGCTTCTCAACGTGGGCCAGGTGGAGCAGCCCCTTCAGTAAGCATGAAACACGCCCTCATCATGGATGAAGTAGACGGCATGGCAGGCAATGAGGACAGGGGAGGAATTCAGGTAATGAAAGCATTGTATTCTTGGTTTTTATTTATTTATTTATTTCAAATATATTTTTATTGATTTCAGAGAGGAAGGGAGACAGAGATAGAAACATCAGTGATGAGAGAGAATCATTGATCGGCTGCCTGTTGTAGGCTCCACACTGGGCATCTAGCCTACAACCCGGGCATGTGCCCTGACCGGAAATTGGACCTTGACCCCCTGGTTCATAGGTCCACACTCAACCACTGAGCCATGCTGGCTGGGCTTTACTCTTGGATTTTTTTTTTAAATTATATTTTATTGATTTTTTTACGGAGAGGAAGGGAGAGAGATAGAGAGTTAGAAACATCGATGAGAGAGAAACATCTATCAGCTGCCTCCTGCACACCCCTACTGGGGATGTGCCCGCAACCAAGGTACATGCCCTTGACCGGAATCGAACCTGGGACCATTCGGGCTGACGCTCTATCCACTGAGCCAAACCGATCAGGGCTACTCTTGGATTTTAGTGTGTGTTTTTCCCACAGAAAATATAAAGAACTAATTATTATGTGGTATCTGTGGCAATTAAAGCTTGTTGCTGAGTTGGTATTTAAAACTGAAAATGCATATATTGTGTGGTACTTGTTTTTTAAAAGTAATTATTTTTGTGTTGCAAATTTGCCTTTTAGGAACTAATTGGCCTGATAAAACATACAAAAATTCCCATTATTTGTATGTGCAATGATAGAAATCATCCTAAGATTCGCTCTTTGGTTCATTATTGTTTTGATCTTCGTTTTCAAAGACCTCGGGTTGAACAGATTAAGGTATGATGTTTGGAATTTTTTTCCCATCACACTATCCTATTTATTTTAAGGTCAACTTCGAAAGTACCTGATAAATATTTTAAAAATATCTGATTATATCAGTTTAAAAAAGAAATCATTGAAGATTCTCCTTTGTCAATTTTAGGGTGCTATGATGTCAATTGCATTTAAAGAGGGTTTGAAGATTCCCCCTCCAGCTATGAATGAAATAATTTTGGGATCCAATCAAGATATCAGACAGGTAAATTAAACATATATTACATGAGAATTGATAATTCTTTTGAATTAATGCCTTAAAGCTGTTTGAGGAGAGGGAGTGGAATATATTTTTGCTGATTTCAGAGAGGAAAGGGGGAGGGGAGAGATAGAAACATTAATGAAGAATCATTGATTGGCTGCCTCCTGCACACCCCCTCCTGGGGATCAGGCCTGCAACCCGGGCATGTGCCCTGATCAGGAATCGAACCGTGACCTCCTAGTTCATAGGTCAATGCTCAACCACTGAGCAACGCTGGCTGGACAATGAGTGGTAGTTTTGTCCCACCTCGACAGTGTCTTATTTGCAATTCTCTTAGGTTTTACACAACCTGAGCATGTGGTGTGCACGAAGCAAGGCACTAACCTATGACCAGGCCAAGGCTGACTCTCAGAGAGCCAAAAAGGACATCAAACTGGTAAAGTAAATTTCCATTTCTTACTTAATTCTGGTTGGACTTAGTTACTTGACACACATATAGAACCTCTGGATATTTACAAGAGATACAGACAGCTGTTAAAAGTGTTTCTAGTTCAAATGAAATGCTTTTCAAGGACTAGCAATGTATATTGTAGATTTTGAAAAGGGGAAGTTTTAAATTATAATTATGCATCAATAATTATAAAGTGGCTTTTTCACAGTCCTTGATGTATGGATTTCATTCGTGTTTTTAATGGGTCTGGAACTGTTTTTAATGGTTTAATAACCTCCCTGAAATGAGAAGTCTTATCGATGATCTCTCAGTGTTCTATTTCACCTAGTCACTACTTAGAATTTATTAGTTAGAGCAGGGGTACTCAAACTACGGCCCGCGGGCCACATGCGGCCCGCCGAAAACATTTATCTGGCACACCCGGTGTTTTTGCTGCCGCTGTGTGCATAGGAATTTGTTCATAGTTTTTTTTTTAAACTATAGTCCAGCCCTCCAATGGTCTAAGGGACAGAGAACTGGCCCCCTGTTTAAAAAGTTTGAGGACCCCTGAGTTAGAGCAATGATTAAACAGTATTTTCCCCCCTCCTTTTAAAAATATTAATAAAAAAATTTACAGCAATTTTAGGCTCACATCCAAATTGAACAGAAAGTATAGAGATTTTCCATATACCTCCTGTCCCCAAATACATACACCCTCCTCCACTGTCAACACCCCCATCCGAGTGGTACATTTGTTTAACTGATGAACCTACACTGACACATCATTATTACCCAAAGTCCATTCACATTTAGTGTTGTACATTTTGTGGGTTTTGACAAATGTCTAATAACGTGTATCTGCCATGGTAGCATACTAAAAATCCGCTGTTCTGTATATTCATCCTCCCTTGTCCCCTGGAAGTCACCAATCTTTTTACTATCTCCATAGTTTCACCTTTTTGGAAATATTATATAGTTGGAATCATACTGTGTAGCCTTTTCATACTGGCTTCTTTTACTCGGTAGTATGCATTTAAGGTTCCTCCATGTCTTTTCATGGCTTGATAGCTCATTTCTTTTTAGTGCTAAATAATATTCCATTGTCTGGATGTACCACAGTTTGTTTATTCACCTACTAAAGCAGCTCCCAAGTTTTGGCAGTTATGAATAAAACTGCTCTAAACATTCATGTGCAAGTTTTTGTGTGATAGAACTTTTTAATTCATTTGAGTAAATACCAAGGAGTACAACTACTGGATAGTATGATTAAGAGTATGCCTAGTTTTGTAATAAACCACCAAACTATCTTTCAAAGTGAAGCCATGCGTGAGAGTTCCTGCTGCTCCACATCTTGGCCACCATTTTGTCTTGTCAGCATTTGGATGTTGGCCCTTTGTTTTTAGGGCCCATTTGATGTTGCCCGGAAGGTGTTTGCAGCCGGAGAGGAGACTGCTCATATGTCGCTTGTGGACAAATCCGATCTCTTTTTTCATGATTATTCAATAGCGCCCCTCTTTGTCCAGGAGAACTACATACACGTGAAGCCTGTAGCTGCGGGGTGAGTGCTCAGAGCTAGTGAGGGTTAGAGTTGGTACCGTTCCTAACCCTGCGAGGGCCAGACAGCCGAGAGGGAGGGGAGTGGAGTATACACAATGGTGTAATCCAGACTGGTTTCTGTCCTGCAGGGGGGACATAAAAAAGCACTTGATGCTTTTAAGCAGAGCAGCAGATAGCATATGTGATGGTGACCTCGTGGACCGGCAGATCAGGAGTAAGCAAAACTGGAGTCTCCTGCCCACACAGGTAAGCATAGTGCTCTCCTTAAAGCGCACGCAGGCTCTGCTTTAGTTAAAGAGAACAAAATAGCTGTCAGCTCCTGTAGTTATTTGAAATACCAGATAAACATTATGGCTCTTATGACAAAAATGCCATCTGGTAGAGACCAAAACTCTGTGGTCACTATTGTCTATTTCTTTTTTTTTTTAATGTATTTTATTGATTACGATATTACATATGTGTCCTTATCCCCATGTTACCCCCTCCCCCTCCCCATCCCCCCGCTCATGCCCTCACCTGCCTGTTGTCCGTGTCCATTGGTTAGGCCTATATGCTTGCATATAAGTCCTTTGGTTGATCTTTCCCCCTTACCTTCACCCTTCCCTACCTTCCCTCCAAGGCCCGACAGTCCAATCAATGCATCTCCGTCTCTGGATCAGTCCTTGTTCATCAGTTTATGTTGTTCATTATATTCCACAAATGAGTGAGATCATGTGGTGTTTATCCTTCTCTGACTGGCTTATTTCAGTTAACATAATGCTCTCCAGTTCCATCCAAGCTGTGGTAAATGGTAAGAGTTACCTTTTCTTCTTCCTCAT